AACGATATGTATGCCCATGCTAATATTTTTTCTCTAGCTAGCTGGACCATCCCCACGACTGGTTCTGCAGACCTTGCTTTGGTTTCAGCCCTCCAGTTTGATGGCCTCAAGACTGACAGCCTCTAGACGGACATCTCGCAAGACCGACAACCGGCAAGACCAACATGTCAGTCTAGTGGGCCTAGACTAATAGCCCATGAAAACATATAACATATTTTTCACACGTGCCTGCTGACAACTTTTCTGAGGGTTCAGGATTGATAAACCAAAATGTTCGTGTTTGATGTCTGTCTCATTGGCTGTCCGCCTATTGGGATGTCCACACTTGATTTATAATTCTTGCTATGTATACATCTGTACTGTGTGATATGTATCGTTGCATGTTTGTGAATAAAGTGAATGCATATGCTAAATATGAAATGTCCGTATGAAAGTTACTTGTCAAAGGCACGGGGAGGTGCATGCATGATTCAGCTGTTAAGACGTGTAGTCAATGGCTAGTAGGTAAATAGACTGATCACTTTTTTCCCTTCCAAATAGCTGTATTATTGTTTATCGTAAACTTAGGTATTGAGAGAACAACTAGTGTGTCATCCAACATTTTCTCCTGCGGCAATTGCTCTGGTATTCATTTTGTTTAAATTATAAGGTTAGGGTAAGGATAGCAATCGGAATTTTAGGTTAGAATTAGGGGTAATCGTTAGGATTGGATGTAGTATTGGGTCTAGGAATAAATTTAGGGATTTGATGAGTGTTGGAAATTACTGGAGAGCAATTGTCGCAGGAGTATGTGTTTTATGACCCTTGTCTGCTGCTCCCATCGACATAAATTTCATTGTCATTAAATGTGCATTGTTTTGCTACATAATGTAGGCCTATTGTTTTGTAGCATTTTACACCCTGATTAATATGTAAGCCAGTTAATCGTAAAAACATTTGCTTTAAGGATTGCTGGCTGCAAATTTGGTAAAGTTTGGTAATGCTTTGTATTGCATACATGTAATGTCAAGAAGCAAAAGAGTTGGATTGTCAGAAAAGTAGCGCATACATGATAGTGAAATATTATTGATTTTTTTTTATATTGTGCTGAATTTGTAGTGGACTGCTGTAAATGTCAGAGTAATATTTTGTTGTTGTTTTGCATGCTTTGTTTTATTTTGGACTGTTGATTGGATTCTCACTGTGGAAATTTGTTGATATCAAGAGCATGGTACATGGCATAATGTGTTTGGTTGTTGAAAGATAAAATTTATAATATATCTTCTGCTGACATACACATGTTTTTTTACACTCATATATATAAATATATTAACTGAGTTAAATGTGATGAGAGTAGAACGAAGAGGACAAGGATAACCAAATATAGAGTTCACATTGACATTGTAAATTGTAGATTTTATTCGAAAGTAAAAAGTGCGCCCTCATAGAAAATACTGTAACCACCATTTTCTTCGCATGTGGGTTGCAATTTGCAGGCTGTTTACTGGTTTGTCTATTTCTACTGTACTAGCTATCATACTTTTCTGGTTGTTTTATTTAACTAAGAAAAGGGCTTGTTGTGCTTCATGTGTATTCAAAAGTGTGCTCCTTCTGCTCAAATGTTTTGTGATTTCGATGTAATACATATTTTGTGATTGTGTATGTTTGGTATACATTCTATATCCATGGATTCAAGAATGATTTCATGAAATTTGTAATGAATTAGGTGAATCCTTCTCATAAAGGTAATACTTAGTTAGTTTGTATACATATCTGGTTATCTTAATTCTGGATGTGGAAATACATGAGATTGTTCTTTTGATGAATGGTTGTTTTCTTCACTCTACAACAGCTCTGTGTGCTACGTGTGTAGGCAAAACTCTGCTCCTTTCTGCTCGAATGTTTTGTGATTTTAATGAATGCACTACATATGATTTTGCTTTGAGTGATTTGGTCTTATATGAATAAATTCAAGAATTTTATTCCCTGCAGTTTGGGATGAATTAGGATTGTCCATCTCATAATTGTGAAGATGGAAAAACTTTGATTGTGGATGTGGTTAGACATAAAGTTGTTTTGTTCATGAATGTGCTACATGTTTGCGATTTTTGTTTGTTCGATAAATATCTTATGTCCATGGATTCAAGAATGATTTCATGAATTTTGTAATTAATTAGGTTTTATCCATCTCATAAAGGTAAGACGTATTTCATCTTGTATACATATCTGATTTTTAAATTTTGGATGTGGAAATTTATGAGACTGTTCTTTTGATGAATGGTTGTTTTCTTCACTCTACAACAGCTCTGTGTGCTACGTTGCAAAACTCTGCTCCTTGTGATTGAATGTTTTGTGATTTTAATGAATGCACTACATTATGATTTTGCTTTGTGTGATTTAGATCCTATATGAATAAATTCAAGAATTTTATTTACTGCAGTTTGGAATGAATGAGGATTGCCCCTCTCATAAAGGTAAGAAGTAGTTGGTGTTGTAATTGTGGAGATAGAGGAATTTTGATTTTGGATGTGGAAAGACATAATATTGTTCTTTTATGAATGCGTCACGTATTTTGTGATTTTGTTTTGCTTCCGTGCATTTAAGAGTGATTTTTTGCAATTTGTAATGAAAGAGGATTATCCATATTGCTTTTGATCATTAACTTACTCTGTTCACGTTGATCTATATTTCATATGTATTCTAATTTGCAGGTTTATTTGTATTTTTTAATTTTTTTTAATATGTTATTGTTTGTCATTGTATTTTGTTTGTTATAGCGCTAAGAGTCTTCGATGGTAAGCGCTTTATAAGCAACGTTTTTTATTATTATTATGTATCTACTATAGGTAAGAGATAGCTATTCCAATTTATTTGGAATATGTAAACATATTGTGATGGATAGAAAGTAAGAGCAAAAAAATGAACCATATATTTTATTCTTCATTTTAATATTTGAATTTCTTAAACTATCTTGATAATGTGTCTTAACTGTGCTGGCATGGTATATAGACAATTATATCTTTTGGCTTTTGATTGGTTGAGAGCTCGTCACATGACCAGAAATATTTGACCTATTTTAGAAAGTACTATATGAGAGTACTATTTTGGTTTACTATTTGGGAGTTGGAAAAAAAATGTGAATTTTTTTTTTTTAATTGAATCAATTTTTTTTCTTCAAATCTTAATTTAATGAAAACAAAATATTTTAAATCTTTTTAGATAAAAATCGACATTTTTTTTGTTCTAAATTTTTTTTCCCCCAAAATGTTTTTTTTTTTTTTTTAAATAAATGTTTGATGCAGGATATAAAACAAATATACCATGCCTTCTATTCGAGGTACTAGTTAAACAATGGGCCTCGGTGACTCCAAAAGTACCATTTGCTTCGGGGCTGTGCCCCTCAGCAAATAGTACTATTGGAGTCACCTCTTGCGCATAGTTTTAACCAGAACCTCTCAAGGCAGTGTATATTTGTATACTATTTGGGGTGAACTAACAAAATTTTAAGAATACGTTTAAACTGTATTGAGTCAAAGTTTAGGCGATAACATTCTTACGTCTTCTTATTTTTCGAAAAAAGGAACATGACATTTTTGCGAGTGCAGTGTTGCTACAGTTTCGCTTAGCTATTCATAAAATGTATTTATACATGCTTTGATAAATCAGCGATCAATATGAATAGAATATGGCTGTTTTAATACTTATTTTTTTATCGAATCCCAAAAGTATGGTATGATGAACATGTATCGTGAAGTGGAATGAATGTTTTGTTATCTGCATATTGCTGGCATGTCTCCTCTATATCAGAAATGTCTATGAAAACTTTTTACGTTGCTTATTTGCGTCAAATCATATCATATATTGCTGGCATGTCTCCTCTATATCAGAAATGTCTATGAAAACTTCTATCGTCTATTTTCATTTTCATGACCGATAAAAGGTGTCTGATTTCAGTTGATGTCATTGCTTTTATATTTACATTTGACCGAAAGAGGATGTTTTCGTGTTCACTTTAATCAGGCTTGTATAAAGAAAAAGGGGGAAAATGTGACTTGTTTTGACAGTTTCATTTGTTGTTTTTATCGGTTTGAGGGTACCCGAACTGCAAAACTGGTTTACCCATTAGCGTGATTCATAAAATAACAAACATCTTTGTCTCTCTGTCTCTCTTTCTCTTTCTTTCCTTCCTTCTCTCTATATCTCTCTCGTTCTCTCTCTCTCTCTCTCTCTCTCACACGCACATACACACACACACACACACACACACACACTTTTGTGTTGTTGTAATTTAGTGTTATTCCTCCAAATGTGTAATTCAAACTAGAACAAAATAAATAAACTATTAAATATTAATTGCTTATACATGAACATGATTAAACAAAAACTTTCTCTCACACACGCACACACCCACACCAATATTTCTCTTATCCCAGAATAGATGTAGATCTTTTTTCAGACAAGTTTCCCCCTCCCCCCCCCCCCCCCCCCCCCACCCAGCACCCCAACTGCACCCCATCTTGATTCCCCAATGTTATGTGCTTAATTTTCTCCCTATAAAATATATATGTCTCTCACTATGAGTGAGTGTTTATGAGGATGTCGTTGTGTTGTGAGTGCGTGTTTATGTGTCTTATATTCCACTAAAGACACTTCTTTCTAGTCCAATGTCACGACTTTGGTCTATCTTCAAGTAAATTTGTTTTCACAACCCCCCGCCGCCGCCCCCCCCCCCCCTTTTCGTCCCTCTCTTTATCTCTCTTTCTCTCTCTCTCTCTCTCTCTCTCTCTCTCTTTCAATCTCTCTCTCTCCCCCTCTCTCTCTCTCTCTCTCTCTCTCTCTCTCGTATTCTCTTTGAAAAGTTGAAAAAACCATTTATCGCACAAGTGCCGGAAAGGGATGTGATTACTATCCTAACTCATCTCCTCCCGTATCTAGATAAGTAAGTGTAATACAAAAGCCAATTACCTGTACATAATGAGGTTAAACTTCACGACAATAAACACCAGCGCTTCAGTTTAGTTACAATTAAATATGAATTCGATTCTGAACGCGTAATTCAACTTTAGTCGAGAGATTTACAGTGCTTTAGGATATCTTGGATCAAACGAATGCTGCACACGACATGGAATTTATAAATGATCTTTGGCGCCTGTTGGTGATGTTCACCTGTTTAATGTGTGCTGTGCCTCCTACTGCGGCATCTGACGATGAATGCTGTAAGTATATACCACACAAGTTACCTTGCCATTCCTATATAACATAACAAATATTTGGTAAGAGTATGACTTACCAACTGCTTTGATATGTACTATACAAAATATACTACAGAAAGTACACAACCCTGAGTAATGTATGTAAGTAAGTAAGGGAGAATATATTGTAAAAATGATTCGATAAAGTAACCTCCAGCATTTAGAATATATCATACCTAGTATATATAGATATATATGTATATATATATATATATATATATATGGAAATTATGTATACACTACACTGAGTAATGTATGTAAGAAACTATAGCATGCATAACGGTGAATATAATGTAAAAATGATTCTGTGAAATTATCTCCAGCCTTTTTTGTTGTTGAAATATATGACTAGATTATGTCCATGTAGAAAAGACTACCATAGTGCGGATTACATCCATTGCATGCATTTAAGTTGTATTCATTTAGGAAGAATGAAACTAAGTAATGAATAAGAAATCAAATATACAAATATTAGTAACAGTAATAATAATAATAACAAGGTTTTGGTGATATGGATGGTAGTGATGATGATAACGATGATATATGTTATAACAATAATAACAATAATAGCGGTGATAGTAATACCAATAATAATGATACTAACAATAATCTAGTGACAAGATTTAAAGCCTAAGATCGCCCACACTTCACAAGTATTCACGGAACGCGCTTTATACATGTAAATAATATGATTATTGTGGTATCATCATCAACATTATCATCATTGTCGTCATTATCATTGATACTTGTAATGATGTTGATCTTAAATGAGGAAGTACAGACCAAAAAAAATTGTTTCCATTTATCCGTATAGCCTCTAACTTTGCCACTGAGCTATATTTGCAAAGACTAAATGCATAAGTAAATCCCGTACTTGCATTTTTGTTGTTCTGGCAATTGTTGTTCCGTACAAAATTAAGATACATTGAAGAAACCAAATCACCTTTAAAAAAAAAAGGAGAAAAGGGATACCACTGGCGAACTGGCGTGTGTGTGTGTGTGTGTGTTGGGGGGGGGGTATGGGCTGCTGCGCTAAAATAATTGTTCCATTCTTTCAACAACAAAAAAGTGGGTATACCGCTTGATTATATTTTGTAGGACCCATAACCCTGAAAAACGATTGCACTCAGAGCTCGTTTAATTCTAGGTCTTTTTCGAGAAGTAAAGTCCATGCTTTCTAAAAAGTTAACCTACATTAAAGTGATTTATGTGATGTATTTCATTCCTGGCGCCTAATGACATACTGGCTCAGTCCCCTCAACATTATTGGGATATTACGCCACTGTTCAATACTAAAAGATCTAGATAATGGTCACGTATAACGAGAATAGTTTCGTTAAATGAACCATGGTATTGTAAACCCCAAAGAAATTGAATCTGACCTACTATTAGTCAGCTTCGATCGTCAAGTTTGGTAACAAAGTCCGGATATTCGTAGGGCATAGGAAGTGATACATTACTGTACACGTGTTTGTTAGCAGTCGAGCGGTCACTCTCGTACAGGTAAAGTTGTATTACTCTATCAAAGACAACAGAAATGTATCAACATTTGACCACATTGATGCAATTTGAGATTTCAAATTCTTAAATAAAAAAAAAAGTTGAGTTAAAGGTAGGCCTTTCTGATATTTTGTTATAAAGCATTTGTTTTCTGAAAAGATAAATGAAGGGGTGGAAGAGGTCGCTTTCTTATTCTCTCTCTCTCTGATAAAGACATGGCATAAGCCCCATCTGTTGGGAGGTCTATACAAAAATATATATTAAAAAACTGTTTTCTACGACCAGCGAAGTCCACCCCTCCCCTCATTTTGTACCTTTATGGATACGCTAGTGATGTCACCGTATTCTGGTACCGTTATCGACAACATAAAAACTAAAAAGTTGTTATTTTTCATATTTCAATAACGCATTTGTATGACATTTATTCTGTTTCCAAATGCCAGTACCGTACTGCATCATCACCCTCGCCACCAATACCACCAAAGTAGACATCAAGACACCAGGCTACCCCTCCAACTACCCGCAAGACACCAAGCTCCTGTGGATCATTGGGGCGCCCTCTAACTATGGCCTACTGTTGACCGTGCATGACTTAGAACTTGCGACGGGAGACACGGTGCAGTTCGGGCATAGGGACGAGGCGAAGTTCATCATCGAAGGCGACGACGACGTCGAGGCCATGATCAACCGGACGATCTCGTTTGCCAAGGAGGAGGTGACATGGGTTACTTTCTCTTCCGACAACGACAACGCCACTGCCAGAGGAATCTGGCTGACAGTGACTGCTGACCTAGGTCAGTATAAGGGCTCGTCTAAAATTATGACGCAGTAAACCACCGCACAATAACAGCCGCGGTTTTTTACGTGTCAATTTATGGCGGCTGGGCGCAACAAAGGTCCTAAGCTCTTTGTTTAAGATATAGATAGGTGAACGCCGCGGTTTATCACCTTTAATTTTAACAAGGCTTAAAGCGTTACACACGGTGCGTCATTTCGATCAAAACAGTAAAAACAACGTGCCTACTACCTGCGGTAATTCAACGGTACTCGTTGCACTGTTCGATTTGCATTTCATGTACGATGTCTATCTCACAATTGCGCGTCATTCGGCAGTATCACAGCAGTTGATGACGGAATCCTACGTCAGCAATATAAATTTGGGATGAAGGTGGCTCATCAAATGATAATAATAATAATAATAATATTTGTTAACGTCCCTGTGCGCTTCTAAAGAGCTTTGGAAATTATTAGCCTAGCTTTAGCCCCAGCAGCCGTTATCAGCGCACAGTGCATTTCAAGGAATAATCTTACCAGTCACGCATTTACCTCACCTGGGTCGAGTGTGGCAAATGTAGATAAATGTCTTTCCAAAGGACATATAATGTAGGTTGTACAATTAGCCTCATCTGTTGACGTTAGACTGCGAGCGCGCCTTATATACGGTCATGTGAGAACAGCATTGTACACAAGTCAAAGTAAAATAATAACGCAAACATTGCGTTTAATTATAGCAAAATATCTTCATTTCCATCTTGGGCTTAACAATAGCGGAGGTAACCTAATGTTGCAATATAAATTTCAGGATAGGGGATGGGGTTGGTAGGAGGAGGGGGTGTGGGATTATTTATTGAGGTATGGCCACCCTCCGTAGAATAAAACACTTTCGGTCAATTTCATTTTGGCTCAGTTTGCCACAAAAAAGGCTTAGATTTGCAATAAATCAAACAATACTTCCTTTATTTTCTTTAGATGCATCGGAAAGTCCATACACGTCTTCAACAACGACCACATTGCCTACAGAGCTGCCGCTAGTGAGCCTTCTCCCCTGTAAGTACCATAACCCTTTGCTTGATATTCGTATGATTATTTCATCTTCTGTTCAGCATGTTAGTGTGTGTGAAAGATAGAGAGACTGTGAGCTAATATAAAGATATGGATATAGAAAGAGGGAGATACAGAGAGGCAGAGAGAGAGAGAGAGACAGAGACAGACAGACAGAAAGCGACAGAGAGGGAGAGAGACAGAGAGACAGAATCAAGAGGAAAAATACAATCATTCTTTTTCTTAGAACCGATTTTAGAATTAATATCAAAAGTATGAAAATCAAATCGGGTAGGGTATGGCAATTGCACATCATACACAATTGCAAATAAAATTGTGTTCTGTAAAATTCCAGGACCTATACATGTGTGAATTTTAAATCATAAATGTCCGGTAAATCAACAGATGACTTATCAGTTAAATACACAACATAGGGGTAAGTTTAGAAATTGTATTAACTTGTATCTTCTTCATCTTCTTCTTCTTCATATTATTTTTGATCCCTTTTACTATGATTTGTATTTTCTTCTTCTTATTATTATTATTATTATTATTATCATTATTAGCAGCCTTTAGTAGGAGTACTAAAAGTAGTATTTGTATCATCATCATCGTTATTATCGTTGTAATGATTGATTTTCTTTTCATCCTTATTCTTGTTCTTCCTCCATCCTCCTCCTATTCCCAAGCTTCCTATAGACGTCTAGGTGTGTCCCTCCCGTTAGCTATCGGGTTGATCATCATTGCCTTTGGTCTTGGTGCGGTTGTTGTATGGTGCTATCGCAAAAGAAAAAGGTACAAATATCTACACCGTCTCAAGTAACCCGCCCCCACCCTAAACGAATGTGGTTCTTACATCTCAAATAAAAAATAAAATAAAATTTCCCCAATCTAGTTAGGTGGTCTGTTGAAAACAGATCACCTATTGTTTTCGTCAGAATTTTCTTTATTATTATTATTATTCTTTATTTTTATTTATTTCCTACACTTTTTTGTGCCTAGGATAACTCAAGTTCGATTTCGTCAATTTCATTCAATTTTGGCACAGTCATAGGTCATTGTCATGAGACGTGACAGGAACCTTTTCAAGGTCATCACGTCATCGTGACGTCATCCAGGCGCCATTTTGTGAAATCACGTTATCCATCATATCTTCATGATGCATCAGCAAAGGTCATTCATATCCATATCACATATATTTCAGGTCAAGGGTCAAAAGGTCATGTCATCAAAGGTCACATAAAGGTCATGACGCGCGCGTACGTGCGCGTCAAAATTTTAAAATGCTCAAAATCACTTAACTATTAAAGGAGAGTACGAATCAGGTCATTTTAAGCATTTCAAAATTTTCCGTCCGTAAGTGTCACCGCGCGCGTTGCGCGCGCTCATAACGCGCGGAAAAGGTCAAATTCAAATTGTTTACATGATTTAGATTCCTCTTACCGTAAATGACAATTTACATTAATTTCAGTCACCCTTGACCTTTCAAAAGGCCGTGATCGCGCGTCAAAGTTCAAAATCCGCGCGTGCTGCTATGGGCAATATAATGCAAATTTGATCAAAAACATGACATTTTAAAAATCAAAATAGCTCTTCAGATAATCAATTGTTCCCATTTTTTATATCATGGTTGGAAGAAGCATGAGTTGGAGATATGATTTCATGTGTCATTTGACCCTCAATTAACTCATGACGTCATCATAATGGCCTCCAAACTCAAAATTTCAATTTGCATATTATGACGTCAGCAGATTTTTGGAAAATTGATTGTATCTCTGTAAATATTGATCAATTTTCTTTCAAATTTGGATATGTTCTACCTGAGAATATTTTCTACAAATGCAGTCAACACGCTATTTCATTTTGACAATGGTATCATGGCGTATTTTTGCGATTAAAGGAGGCATGTCAATTTTTCACATTTTGCGTGTATTCTCTATGGGACATGACTTTTTCTCAAAACTGGATTCTACATTCTGGTCTTTCGCGAGCCATATCTCCGTTGTTTTATCTTTGTTTACGCTGAGCTTTGAGTATGTTGTAGCTGAGACAATAAGCTATCACAAGTGTGCCCTTTATTTTTCGATCAGATGCCGGGATCATGCTCATATTTCACTTACAAAGTGGGATTTGATAATTCCATTTTCCGTTTACGTGTAATCTCTATGGGAAATGTTTTGGTATATCGGTAACGCACTTGACTTCCGACCTCGAGGTCCCTGGTTCGAGTCCGGGCGTCTCCAACAATTTTTTTTTTTAACTTTTTTTTCTTTTTGACCTTTCACTGTACCATCTCCTTTGAATATTAAAACACGTACAATCGCAAATAATGTAATAAACAACCATATTTACTTTATTATTACCCTATTATCACTTGATCCATTACTTTTTGCGTGTAATCCTTATGGGAGATGACTTTTTCTCAAATCTGGATTCTACATTCTTGTCTTTTGCGAGCAATATCGCCGTTATTTCGGCTTGATTTTTGTTGATTTTTTAGTATGTTGTAGCTGAGACTATATACTATCTCAAAGATCTCTCATTTTGTTCAGTCTGATGTCATCATGGTCTGTTGATGATGATCATCAACATCATCATGATCGTGATGATCATCATCATCGTCATCACCATTACTATCAAGATCATCATCATCATGATCATCATCATGATCATCATTGTTTACATGTCTATATAACTTGAAGGCAGACCACCTTATTCGTCCTCGTGACGAATTAAAATCTAGTTATTCTTTATTTTTATTTCTCCCCGTTTTTTGTGGCCCGGATAACTCAAGTTTGGTTTAGTTAATTTCATTAAATTTCGGCACAATTATAGGTCATTGTAATGAGACGTGACAGGAACATTTTCAAGGTCATTAGGTTATCGTGACGTCATCCATGCGCCATTTTGTGAAATCACGTTATCCATCATATCTTCATGATGCGTACTCAAAGTTCATTCATATTCATATCACATATACTTCAGGTCAAGGGTCAACAGGTCATGTCATCAAAGGTCACAAAAAGGTCATGAAGCGCGCGTATGTGCGCGTCAAAATTTAAAATTGTTCAAAATCACTAAACTATTAAACGAGAGTACGAATCAGGTCATTTTAAGCATTTCAAAATTTTCCGTCCGTAAGTGTCCCCGCGCGCGGTGTGCGCGCTCACAGCGCGCGGAAAAGGTCAAATTCAAAATGTTTACATGATTTAGATTCCTCTTAACGTAATTGACAATTTACATTAATTTCAGTCACTCTTCATATTTCATAAGGCCGTGAGCGTGCGTCAAAGTTCAAAATCCGCGCGTGCTGCTATAGGCAATACAATGCAAATTTCATCAAAAACATGCCATTTTAAAAATCGAAATAGCTCTTCAGATAGTCCATCGACCCCCAATTTTTATATCATGGTTGGAAACAGCATGAGTTGTCGATATGATTTCATACCACCCTGACTCGTACAAAGTGAAACAAAGTCATCATATTGGCATCTAAACTCAAAAAAATGTATTTTGTTGATGACGTCATTTTTGTCTTTGTTTAATTGAGATTATCTCACTTATCGGTCATCGATTTTCTCTCAGAATTTAATATGTTGTAGCTGAGATAATTCTCTATCAAAAATATGCCATTCATTTTTCATTTTGATGACGTCATCATAGTGAAATATTCCATTAAAGGCGACAATGCATAATTTGTCATATTTGCGTGTTATGTCTATGGGAGGTCACTTTTTTCAAAACATGAATCTGCATGACAATGTGTTTTGACCAGTATCTCGGTTATTATTCAACAGTTTTCTACCAAATTTTAGTATGTTGTAGCTGAGACTATTTGCTATCTAAAAATTTCCTTTTTTTCAATCAGATGTCAGGATCATGCTAATGCTCGTCATCATCATTAACATTATCGTTTTTATCATCATATAACATTATCATTATCATCATCATCACCTTTACTATCATGATCATCATCATGGTCATCATGATCATCATCGTTTACATGTCTATATAACTTCTCCCATTCTCAATTCTATCATAAGACTTAGACAGACCACCTTATTCGTCTTCGTGACGAATTAAATTTCTAGTTTTCATTACTTCAGTTCAGTTTAGTTCAGTTTATTGAATTCCATCTTTAAAAACATTTTTACAAAGTAAAAATATGCAATTTCATGTAAAATATAATATATAAATTGGGATAGCATATACATGTGAAATTTATTAATACAAAACAGAATAAGGCACAGCTGTAAAAAATCAAGAAAAGGTTTTGTCTGGACAGCTTCCTATCAAAATAATTATAATAAATATAGTAAGAAAACAAGTAGGAAGTAAAGTTTCGGATAGTATCATTCAGAAATTGCATAACAACCGGCACACACCCAGTACATGAAATACAACATGGTAGGATGAAAAAGTCAGAAGATAGCAAAGGGGAAGAAAGAAAAGAGATAGAGAGGGGGGGGGGTAACAAGCTAGATAAATACATTCACTTACCACTCAGTTTCAAGTCCCAAGCTTCTAGATTAAAAGTAAACTAGAATCCCTGACGGAAACACAAAAACAAAAACAAAAATGGGCTCAAATATCGCAATTGATTTTATTATGTTTTGTTCACGCATATACTTTTGGATGGCATTCCATACATCTAAGGAATGACCAAATTAAGTCCTACCCTAACCCATAAGCCTGCGGTTAGGGTCAAGATAATGATTAGGGTTAGGGTTATAGATGGAGATTTTGAATGATTAACAGTCCTCCGACATTCACTCCGGCATCATTTCGTCGTGGTATATTTCGTCAAAAATATATAGTGAAGTTTATGGGTGGAATTATGTCATAAATTAGGTTTAATAAGGATTAGAGTTATGTATTGTGTTTAGTACAGTGTTGAAGTTAAGAATTGATTAGAGTAGGATATTGACTGTGGAGCAATTGTGGCTTGGGCATGTGTCGGTGACTAACCGGAAGCATAACCATTTAATCCCTGCTGGCATGTGATAGGGAATAACGATGTTGAGGCAGGGTAAATGGGGAGAAGGACTGTAAATGCAAATGTATGAAGCA